CCCACTGGTTTGAACAGCTACACAGAAGTCATCTACGACGACCAATAGGCTCTTTTGATTATGTATATTTTGTACATATTTTAAGACAATATAACCAGGCAACTCATATTTTTGCTTACTTTTCATGTAAGGGGCAACTCAAGTTGTACTATAACTCTAAACACTCCCCACATGTAACCTTTTTTATATGAATTTAATTTTATCTCTTTTTGCTAAAAAAAAAACATTTGGCAAACAAAGCGGCAAATAAGAGCACCATTTATGCAAAGCTCTGCGTGCGAATATTCAATAAGAAAAATGAAATATTAATATAATATGTCTTCCCTTTTCAACCTTTCAATTGGCATCAAGACTTCCTCTTCAAAAGTGGTATGCGGTATAATAATATGTGATGATGGGTGAAAGTGGTACACCACTCATTTGCTGCCATGTAGATATCTAAAGCCATCTCAAACCACCTTGATACCTAATGTAGCAACACCTCGGAAAGATGGTTCATGCCAATCAGATGCACTTGAGCTTAGTTGAAGACAAGTCAGTAGGATTGACCTGAGACATTGGTCATCACCTCGGAGTGTTTATAGGGCCCACTAGACCAGGCATTTGACGAGTTATCCAACCTCATGGAGACCAACCTACGTGATTCACCTGCCTTATACCATTCAAGCCATTTAGTGGCCCCAGGATATTCGGAGGGCATGTCGCTCATGTAGCGGCAGTTACATGAGTCTCCCCCATTTATTTGGGAAATGGCAAGTAGTTGACTTAGTGACTATTTCCGAGTGTTCCTTAAGATTCTGGTGGTTGAGGCCCATTACCTCCAAGTATGCCAGGGATGTTCCGGCCATTCCCAAAGGTCTATATAAGGTTAGCTTATCACCCTCAAACGGTATGTTTTTTTACAACTCTCTGGCTCTCATTTTTCTCCTCCCTACTCTTAGCTCTCTTTAGCTCTCTCATCTCGATACTAACTTGACCATCAGAGCCCCCTCACCTGAGTCCACAACCCAGGCTCTCTGACATTTGTCTCCTTTACAGATCCATGGCACTCCTCGTTCGACTCACCACTCCAGCAGGGATCGGTGCATTTTAAGCTACATCAATTKRCATCATCTGTGGGAATCGATTAAAAGGTTATTTCAGCTTGATATTCTTCAACCTCAACCATTACAAGTATGACTTCACCCAACAAAAAAGGAAACCTAGACCAAAACGTCAGCCCGCCGATAGTTCCAACCGAGGTCGACGTCCATCAATTTCCAAGAGCCTATGACTTATATCCAGGGAATGGACATCTAGATGTAGGCTAGGAAGCAACACATGGACACCTTGGGCCTTCCTCAACCCCAGGTGCCCATGTAGGAGCCCCCACAAAACCAAAATTGTCCACCACTTCAAAGCAAGGACCAGTAGCACCTTCAGAATAGCTGCAAGCAGGTCGCCACCGCAAGTGATCAAGGTAAATAGGTCACCAACTCACCGCCAACAAGAACCAGCATACCTCACGTCTATGCTTCCAAGAGAACCCCACACGAACCACCACCTCGGAGTGATAAGATCGTACCCACATCTCAAATGTGGTAACAATAGAGCGACCACCTCCCATGGGACCAAGACCTCCCACTCCGCGGCTACTTTACAAAGCACAAATATCCTTAAGGATATTTTTGGAATTTTCTAAGGACAAAATTTATCCTTCCATATTTAATTTTATTGATAAAAATAAGGGCAAATAGGGTAATTGGTTATTGATATTAAATGAGTTGAAAAGAGGTAATTTTAAGATATTTAATGCATTCAATTCTCTCTCATTAAATCCAATATTTAAGGTATTAACTTGAATTTATCATGATTTAATCATATATTTTAAGACTTTTTTGTTTCTTCTCATAATTATATTCTACGGAAAAGTACGGATAGGCCCAATGCAGAGTTATAAACATTCAAAATGTCAACAACCCACACTCTATGCACCAACACCCACCCGTGAATTGGCATCAATTCTAAGCTGGCACCTACCCCAACAATACCTTGAGCCTACAAAATTCTGACCCTGGGTTGAACCATCTTTCTCCCTAAATTCTATTAATTAAATATATACATAATAAATTAATAATTCCAATAATATAAAAACTTATACTTTTAAAATCTACCTAGAAAAAAAATAGTGTTTTCATCTAGGTGGTGGTAAGAAATTAAACCATTTTGGGTCAAATGGGTCAATCTATGTTGTCACAATTAAATAATAAAATTTAAAAATAGATAAAATGCAAAAAATAGAAATAAAAGAAATTGAGAACATTTTTTACATCATATATTCTACATATAAAACAATGATAAGTATGATAAATATGAAATGTGTTTATTAATGATTGAAAATGAATGTAAAATTTGAATCCTATATTTAAGAAATATATTTTATCATAAAATTCTACTAATTAAATCCATAACATTAATTTTAATAGTATAAAAATAAATATAGGATTCAAATTTTCTCCCTCCCGATGGTAAGTATGCAATTCAACCATTTGGGGTCAAATGGGTTAATAAATAATGCCATAATTAAATAATAAAAAATTAAATTTAATCAAATATATAATACAAAAAGTAAAAATAATTGGGCATATCTCTAATATTTTATATTCATTATATTAAACAAAAATAATTATGAAATGTAATAAGTATTTTTGTTAATGATGGAAAATAAATTAAAATTTAAATCCTATATTTAAGATATATTTTTTATCATTAAATTCTACTAATTAAATCCACAACATTAATTTTAATAGTATAAAATAAATATCTTGAAAAGTAATATGAAAACAAAACCATTTTCTTCTTCCTAGTGGTAAGTAAGTAAGCAAGCAATTCAACCGTTTGGGGTCAAATGGGTTAATAAATAATGCCATAATTAAATAATAAAATATATAATACAAAAAATAAAAATAATTAGGCATATCTCTTATATTTTATATTCATTACACTAAACAAAAATACTTATGAAATGCAAGAAGTATTTTTATTAATGATGAAAATGAAATGCCAAATTTAAARTCTACCTAGAAATGAAATGATGTCATAGTCAAATAATAAAATTTTTAAAAATATAAAATACAATAAATCACAAAACTAAATAAATAGAGAGAATTTTGGGCACATATCTAATGTTATATATTTATAAAAAATAAAATATTGGATACATTATCTCTTATATTATGCATTCATTATATTGAACAAAAATAAGTATTATACATAAGAAATAATTTTATTAATGATGGAAATGTAATACAAAAGTTAATGTCAATCTAAAAATCAAACTATTTTTCTTTTTGGGTGGTGGATTAGTGGTTTTAGTCAAATGGATTAATCGATTATATGATAGTTGAATAGTATTTTTTTTAAATAAAAAGTACAAGTAATCAAAAGAATATATATAAAATTATATATTAATTATGTCAAACAAAATTAAGTGTGATAAGTAAAAATTATTTATACAATATAGATGAAATATATAATTTAATTTGATGTAGCATGATTTGACTGCTCTTGTGTGTCAGGTGACTTGGACAGATACTTTGTCAGGGGACAAGTTTTGCTAGGCCGAGCTGTTTTGTTTTGCGAGGGATACAAAATTAGAGTGCCCAGGCTGTTTTTACCCGGGGTGGGCACTTCGATGCTTAAGTCAGAGAGTTGTTTGAGAGTTATTTGGTAGATAAGAGTATTTGAGAGCTTAATCGCGTGTACCTTCATTGGTAAGAATGAGGACTTTATATAGGTGTGAGTGACCTGAGCCTTCTCACAACGGGTCTCATGTTCTCGTGGAGTTGTTTCCTCTCAGTCGAGAGAGTAATTAAGTAAGTTACATAATTTGCACGGGGTTACGGTCTGCCCGATTAATTCTGATGCATACGAAGCAGTAGGCCGATATCTCGGGCTGGTAACGTGTTTATGAGACAAGTCAGCATGCTCGCTTTACAGGTCGCCTCAAGTTCTTACAGCTCGGCCGGTCTCTAAGGTAGGTTGCCATATGTTGGGAGATCTGTTAGCCTGGCTTGGCCGAGGTAGTAGAGGTTGGCCTAGGCGAGGTGTTTTAAGCCGACTTGCCGAGCTGGTTCGCTTACTCAGCGCTGAGGTGTTGCTGGAAGGCCATGTGTCATGATGTAATTCGAAGGACCAAATTACCCTTATCATAATTGATTCAAAAGCTAATATATTTTCCTATCTAGATGGTGGACCAATGATTTAACTTTTCAAAGAAACTCATGATGTCATAATTGAATAAACAATAATAAGTATAATAAATAAGAAATATTTTATTAATGATGGAAATGAAATATAAAATTTAAAATCAATTGGAAATAAAACTATTTTCCTTTTCTCTCTCATTAAATATTATATTTAAGATATATTTTTTTCATCATTAAGTTTTACTAATTAAATTTGCAACATTAATTTTAATAATATAAAAATAGATATTTTGAAAAGCAATTTGAAATCAAAACCATTTTCTTCACTCTCAGTAGTGGGTAAGCAATTCAACCATTTTGGAGTCAAATGGGTTATAATAAAAAGTTAAAATAAGTAAAATATATAATACAAAATAAATAAAAAATAGACATATCTCTAATGTTGTATATTTATTAAACTAAACAAAAATGAGTATCAAATATAAGAAGTATTATTAAAATGATGAAAATGAAATGTCAAATTTAAAATCTACCTACAAATGAAATGGTGTTATAGTCAAATAATAATAGTAATTGTCATTATAATTTAAAATTTTCACATACGATAAGCATTTAAGTTTATTTTTAATTATATTATTATTTTTATTAATTTTCAATTTCTATTTTAACTATAATATATCTAAAATTTAAATAATTAATAATTTAATATAAACAAATATATATCACGTAGCAATAAAAATAAAATAAAAATTAATAATTATTATTAATTAATGATAATAATAATAATCCAACTGCTAAAGCTTTCCTCTTCCTCATCAACCAGAACCACGGTTCTGCTGAACACCGACTCCTCCTTCTCCACCTCCTCTCTTTTCCTCACTCCACCCCATTCCCCCACCACAATCTCCACTTTCTTAGGAATCACCCCTCCTGCTTTCACTTTAATCCTTACCCACTCACAGGTCTTGAGTTCTGTAGTCGAATCGTCCGTTCCAAAAAAGCCCCCACAGAGGTCGCCGATCCCCTCCATTACACTTGGACACCATAAGAGGAGCGGCAGTCCAAATTCCTTAATCCAGATCTCCTTCGAATCAAAGGAGCTTCCCCTTCTCTCCAGAAGAACATTCGCAGCCGTTGCATCCCACCAGTCTAACGCCAACCTATTTTGGCCAATAAACCAAGGTCCGTTAAGCAGGACCCATTCCGCCTCCTCCTTCGACGGGAAGCAGCTTCTCTCCTCTTCTCTTCTTTGGTTTGTAGCTCCGAAGCTTGGTCAAGCCCCAGCCGCCACCGCTTTTTTGTAAGAGAAGTTCAATCGGCGACCAGCAGCCCGACCACCAGAGTTATACCACATATCCGACCCCCACCTTCGAGCGCCACCCCTAGAGACCGGAAACAATTTTTTTTTCCAGTTGTTAATGCTAAGTTCTTCACAGCTAGGTAGCGTGCTTCTTTCTTCCATGGTCATACTTTTCAGTTATTTATTGTTATCCATTTTTTGTGTTTATGTAGTTTTTGTTACTCGGGTTTCAAAGTATTTGAGATCAAATTGTTCTATAGAGTTTGAGTATTCTGAAAATGTGTTGTTTGATTTCATAAGCACCATAGTAAATCAACCATGGAGAGCTGGATTTGAGGCAACTCACAGTTATTAATAAAAACCTTAGAAGAATAGCATATACAATATGGACAGAGCATACGATGTTTTACCCAGAAATTTGGAAATTTTGAATATGCTTATGGTAGATATTTATCATGCACAATTTAAATCTCTTATTTTTTTTGTCATTTTCTTTTTTTAATAAGTTAGAATTGTGGTTACTGTTGTCAGTATCTGAGGCTAGAAATTATGGCATTGCATTTGAGTTGGGTTTTCTCAAAACCTTTGTTATGGTATGTTTCAGTAATTGGATTAATACCTGCAAGCAAATATGCTACCAAGAGGAACTGGAATTGTCAGAAAGCATCGCAAGGCAATACTACAGAGCTTCTTTGGAAAATTGATTGGCAGAAATGGTGTAATTCAACCCTTCACCTTATATTCAACTGGGTCTTTAGAGGCACCAAAGTGCATTGAGATGCCGGGGAAGCTTAAAAAATCTGAACGGAAGCCATTGGTAACAGCTATCAATGAGCTCAAACATAAAGCAAGATTGGAAAGGCAAATGAGGCAGCAGGTGCATGAGATTGCTTTACAACCACCCAACAATGGCTTGCTAGTCAAGAGTTTGGTCCCAATTGCTCATGAAGTTTATGCTGCCAGAGCTGATCTCTTCAGATGTGTTTTGAGGATTATCGATAGTGTTCCTGTTCAATCATGCAGGTAAATCAGTCTTTGATAGGTCATGGTAATTGGGTTGGATGAATCTTTTATGGGTTTTATTCGTTTAATGGTATACTCATCTTTGCAGCATGTGTGGAGAAGTTCATGTTGGGTTGGTGCCACATAAGATCAGAACATGCAATGTTGCTGGGAGCCCAGCTAACAAAGAGCACAGCTGGAAAAGAGGTGGCATAGAACACATTCTGCCTCTTGTGGAATCTTTTCATCTGTATGACAGGCTGGGAAGAGCTGTATCGCATGAAGAGCGACTCCAAGTCGATAGGATTCCGGCAATTGTAGAATTATGTGTGCAGGCAGGTCTAGACATCCCTGAATGTCCTACAAGAAGACGAGCCTTCCCTGTTTACAATGTTGCTGGGAGAATGATAGATTTTGAGAGGAGGTTTCCAAAAGATGATATATCTGGCAAAGACATTAAAACAATTGGATTTTGGGAGAGGACAAAGAAACAAGGAGTTGATACAAAGCCTATGGATTTGCCTTATGATGATCTAAAAGGTTTTTTCTTGAATGGTTTCTTAGTTCATTGTAGTTGTTTCACTGAAATGAAAAATGTATAGTATCCTTTTTGTGTTGATGAATTTGATATATAATTTGGCTTGTGTCTTACCTATGTTGCCATTCCTGCATTTAAACACAACCAGTCTTGCACGATATCAACTTTATCAATTAAAAGCATATTATCCTTATGCATTGGAACCTGTGCAGGATTTGCTTTACGAGGCATGGAAGCATGGGACAAAATGCGGTCAGGAGCCTTAAAACTGATGCAGAAATACACTGTCCAAACTTGTGGATACTGTCCTGAAGTTCAGGTGGGGCCCAAGGGGCATAGGGTAAGGCAATGCCAAGCTTACAAGCACCAGATGAGGGATGGGCAGCATGCATGGCAGGAGGCAACAATTGATGATTTGATACCTCCTGTTTACGTTTGGCATGTTAAGGACACCCACAGTGACAGACCACTTGTGGATGGTTTGAAGAGGTACTATGGCAAGTTACCTGCAGCAGTTGAGCTCTTTGCACAAGCCGGGGTTCATGTGGGAGAGAATTACACTGGCATCATGAGGGAAGATGTTGCAGTGCCTGATCTGGAAGAAGAGAAGTGGGTTGTATGAAGAAAATCATTGCTTGCTTAGATGTGTGAGACCAAACACATTTTGGTTATTGAGGGTTATGTTTTGGTCATACAATGTCAGAGAATCCTGTTAGGAATTTATTTTCATATACATGGGTTGAACAGCAGATGCACCTAAGGACGACCCCCCAACCCCTTTTAATGGGGGTAAAGGAAAGGCAAGAAAAAAGAGTTAAACGGTTATTGACTTTTGTGTGCAATGAGGAGTCGGTGAGTTTATCTGAGTGAGATCCTGGCAAACCAAAAGCATGAGGGGTATTATCTTCACTCAAAAAACTCTGATATATTAACTTTTGGTTTCTCATAATTATATCTTGTTTCCATCTAAAATGAGTATTGGGTTGATGGGATTCGTAGTTTATAACTGCATATGTTGGCTGAAGTTTGGAAGAACACTTAAGTTTCACGGAACTGCTACAGTTGATGTACTGTAGTGTGTTTAAACTCCAAATTACTGTAATGCYTCCTATTAAAGTTGTTTCTTGTTCAAGCTCCATATTTTTTTGGTAAACTGAGAACTAGATTTTCTTTTGATGACATGTAAACTGAGGATTAAGAATTACTGAATTAGAATTGGCAGGAAGCAGATGGAGAAGCATATTTTCCAGATGTGTGTAGACATAGTAGAACAATCTATGAGTATAATCATCCTTACAAAGTATTTGTTTATTTGGGACATAGGCTGTAGTTGCAATCAATGTTCTTGACCGTTGTTGACCCAGACAACTAAACTGTTCAACCTGGAAACCAGCATAATAGAAAAAACTGTTGAATTGGTCAGCAAATTGTCAACCTGGCCAATTGAACCATCAAATCATTTGACCCAAACAACGGTTTGCAGGCTAAGTATAAAAAATATTTAAATTGTGTTGTAATAAAACAACAAAAATAGCCATTCTGTTATTTAATAAAAATAGCTTTTATTCTTATTTGTTGTACTTGTTTTTGCTTAATCAATTATATATATATAGACGCATGCCTAATTTTCTCTACATATTTTTCTATATTTTTCCTGGATTTTCTTCATTTTCTGCTTGATTTTTTGTGATTTTTTTTTCTATTCTTAGACATTTCCATTGTTAATTTAATAGTGATAGTTTTTATTTGTTGCACTTTCTTTGTTTGATATGATGAATATGTCTTTTTTTGCAAAGTTTTAGCATTTTTTGTATTTTCTACATTTTAGCTATTTTTAATATTTTCATTATCTTGTTTATGATGTCATGGGTTGACCCATTCTGGTTGAACCACTGACCCGTGACCTGGAGAAAGAACGGTTCCACTTCCGTGCACTGGTTGCAATTACATAACATTCATTGATGCTTCATAGTCCAGGGGAACTTTGTTTGACATGTGGACAGTGAGACAAGAAAGTTTCTTGGTTGATATGATTTTTGGTGTGTGAAAATAGGGAAGTAGATGAGATTAATTTGGAGTCATGATGTTTAGTATGAAGTTCTTATTTTTTCTTTTGGCTGTTTTGGATCAATATCGAAGACAATATTTTATTAGGGACAGAGAAAAGAGAATATGAAAGAGGCCCCTACCACAAGGAGAGCCAGGCTGGGAAAATAACAAGATAACAATGCCAACCGGCTACCTATATTGACAAAGAACAACTCCCATTTAATACTTGGACCTTGTAGAGATACAATAGATATATTAAATCAATCTTAATCAGTTAATAGAGTGTGAGTGGTCCCATGTGTTTTTTATTTTTTCTTTATTGCCATTTTGCTATTGGCAGCAGGGGTATAACAGTCATTGTATGTTATTTCTCAATTGCTCATATAAATAGTAATGAGTGGGCGGCAGATCCATTACAATCTGTTCGCCTTTTTCTCTCTATTCTCTCTTGTTCTTCTCTTCTCTTCTCTTTATTTTTCTTTGTTGTTTTCCTTGTCTAAACCTGGTCTGCTATCAACTATCTCAGCCAAGTGATCTATTTACTTGAGTTCCATCCATCTTGATGTGTTGGTTGACATAGAGAGAAAGTTCATTTGATATGATGCAATAATCTCCATGGGTGTGACTTCTTATTTTATAGATCAGATTTTGTTATTGTTTCAGGTACTTGAATTAATTTTGCTTGTTGGAATTTAAGCATTACGGTGTCTGGTGACTTAGCTATGGTAATAGGTATCTGCAAATCCAGTGGCAGCATTTCAATGCTTTCCCACCTCAGTACCTCATAAGGCCAGCCAGAGTTAGCCACATCAGCTTGATGCAATAATCTCTTAAGGTCTGACTTCTTATTTTGTAGCAGAGATTTTGTTCTTGATTCAGGTCCTTGGACTAGTGTTGTTGGAAATTAAGCCCCATGGTATGTGGTGACCTAGTTGTGGTAACAGTCAGAAAATCCAGTGACAATACCTATAGGCTTTCCCACCTCCATCCACTTAAGGGAGAGGCCAGAGTTATTTCATCCAGCTCGAATTTCTCTATTTAGTGGTTGCTAGGTAGGCCATTGAGATGGTAGATGGGTTAGTCAAGATTGGGATGGGCAGGGAGGATACGTACAGTAAACTTGATCTGAACATTCCGGAAGCCTGATTTAGTCTGTGTGCTGGGTTGAGCTGTAGATGTGGCTTAGATTCACGTCACTTCCAATTCCATTTTACTTGTGAGTTTTTCTCTTTAACAAATACTACATGAAAGATATAAAACCTTGTGACTAATCATATGCAAATAATGCATCAATATTTATATAGAAATAAGCAAATGTTAACAATATTATATAAAACAAGAACATAGAAWGTCTGTATACAAATAAGTAACTATTTGTGGTTAAGACAGTTTGTAGGCCTGACATCTCAGCCTGTCCTAGGGCAGGGTTGGGCCTGGGCCGTCTTAATACTGTTTACCCTATCCTAGGTCTGGTCCAGCAACTTTGTCATACCCTATGGCTGTTCTTCCTCCCTGTAGTGGCTCTCTCTTTCTCTCCATACAAAAGGAACTAGGGAGATGGCACTATTCCCTTCTAATTGCTTACATTACTAATAAAAGGGAGTTTCAGTTTCAGTTCATAGAAAGGATAGAGTGCTGGCAGTGACTGGGAAAGCTTAGTGTTTCATGTTTTCAGCTTCTTTCTTTGTTGATTTTAATGGGATGAATTTTTCTCAAATTTGTAATTGCCGGAATAATATCATTTTCCCCTTATTTTGAAGCGTCTGTCTAGCTTGTACATGAGCTATGATGCTTATATCTCCTGTTACTTTTCTATATAGAGTGCAATTACCTTTTCTGGAAATAGTATTACAATTGATACCTTGTGTATAGAAAAGATGGAGTCTATTATTACCTATTAACTTATCTACTTGTGCATGTCAAACATAGATGAACTTATTGAACTAGAAACTATCTTTTGGTGTCTGAAATTTTGCCTTTCCAGATTTCCCCAGGGTGCGCCAGTTTAGTGTTCCAAGAGATGCTAATTGCATGCATATTCTACATCAGGTTTTTCTTTCCTTCCTCATTCTTGTTTTGATACTTTTCATGCTCATCTTTTGTTATCCTTGCTATGTTCATTTTTGTATTTTTTTTTATCAGCAAATGTAGAATTTATTAGTTATATAATTAAACTGGAGGTCACATTGCTGTGGGTAAATTACCCACTCCCAACTGATTATCCAAACACACTAGAGAATACAATCCCCAATACAAGCATTACATTAGCCCAAAATATCTGCTGCCTGTTTTCCCTCTGTTTAGCTAAAGCATCTGGCATGCCATTTGCAGTTCTTCTTACCCATTTAAAAGTATTATTTAATTCCCTTTTTAGGCATTCAATTTCCTGGATCTTGTGCCTGTAAATCCAAGGAGTTTGGCTGTGATATTTTGTTCAGGAAATAACCATCTGGGAGTCCCCTTCCACTTCCATCATCTGAAACCCTAACTGTTTTGCAAATTTCAGCTCTTGAAGTAAAGCCAGTAATGTAACCTCCAGTTATGTTCGACTCTGTATTTATCTTCACCTGTTGGCCTGTTGAGCATATAAATTCTGTTTTTGAATGACATTAAATTGTGATTGCGTTAATTTTTTTTGGAAATAAAACAATAAAATGGAATAAAAGGTGAAAAGAAATCTAGGCTTCTGGATATTTGCATGAATTGTTGAAATAAAATTTGAGTTTTTCCCCATCAACCATCTTTTCCTATCCAAGCAGAATGGTACAAAGCAAACTTCTAAATTTAAATACCATCTATTTTCCATACCAAAGGAAGGCATTGTATGGCATTGGTGGGCATAATGTTTCAATTGGTACAAAATTGTCTCATGATTGTTAGGTAAGTTTTGAAGGCATTATAGCACAGAACTCCATAGGATTACTTTTATGGTGGTAGGGTTTCTTAAGCACACCTATAACATGCTTATTGTTCCAAATTATACAATCAATAGACTGAGTTAAGACAAATTAACATAATCAGGTTATTATTTGCATTTTCATAGTTAACAGTGAAAACGGAAAACCATGTATTCAATAGATGCTCACTTGTTAAGTAGTAGAATATTCATTTGTTGAATTTTCAGGATCGTATCTTGTGAAGTGGGGGTTCATGATATAAATATTGGTATTTATGATCATGGAAAATTCCTATGTATTCGTTTCCAGTTCTTGGATATTTCTTGCCAAGTCTTGGTGCCATCTTGATGTGGATCAAAGATGTAATTAGCGGCTTTATCTGTTAGCCTGCAACTTTAGTTGTCCTTATATGTTCCATACTTTACATATTTATTGAATGGTCAATACTTTATATATTTGTTATAGCATGGATTACAACTGCTTAATGAACAGTTTTGTCTATTATTTTTTCACTGCTTCACTACTGTAGACGTGATCTGTTGCTCAAAGAGGTTTAATGAAGACTGGGATTCGGATAGATGGGGTTCTCATTATTGGAATGAAGCCTTTGGCCCAAGTCCAATGTCAAGCTCCGATTGAAAGGCTTAACAATAAAGGCATCAGAACTCTGATGTTCATTTTAAGATATATTTGGAGAATGTATCTATTACTCCACCTATGCTCTAAGATAGATGAACTTAGTTATGGGGACCATTTTATTTTCTTTTTTCCCCAAATTCTTGATCATTTGTAACTTGTGAGATGCTGCTGCTGATAAAAATTGTAAGACATCCTGCATTTTCGAAAGGCAAAGATTGTTGTTTGCCTAAAGAAGTATTTATTTGGTTTCTGTTTCTCAGTACTTGTGGGGGTACTATTTCAGCCTTTTTAATCTCAGACAAGTGGAGTCCAAGATCACTTAAAGAAATATATGGTAGCTGGCTTATATTGAGGGAAAATAGGAAGGCAAAGATTGTTTGGAGCTGTATTCCTATTGCTATCTGCTGGGAAATTTGAAGGAAGGGATCAAGTTGTCTCCTGAGTGGAAAGGGATTTAGGGATTGGGTTCTGATTTTACCAGAGTTTGAAGGTGTTTCAAAGGAAGATTGTGAGAATAATTTTTGGGCGTCTTTAGAGTATGGGAGGTGATCCCTTTGTAATTTTGCGTTCTTTTATGTTTTGTTTTTTCTTTCACTAGCGATCTCTCATCACCCCATGGATGCACCTTTATTATTAAAATTTCTTTTTTTATTTAGATGAACTTTTTCTCTTGCTTTCAAAGGGAGAGTTCAATTCAGTTCCTGTTTGGTCAACTCCCAATTTATGTAGTAATGTAGAAATGCAGATCAATTTGGCGTAGACTTGAGATCTATTCACAGAGTTCAGGTTGTAGTCTGCAAGGTGTCATACTTCCCCGTGAGTTTTATCTTGCCCTTGGACTTTTGGGTGGTTCGAGCTTTGACTCAAACTCAAAGCTTGAAATATTCACGAGCTACTTGAGCTTGACTCGGCTCAAGTTAATTATATATAAATTGCTATTAAAAATTATGAATAAATTAATATTTAAAATGTTATACATAAAATTATACCAGAAAACTTGAGTATAAATTTATTTGTTTATATTGTAAATAAATTATATAAAAAATCAATATTTATTTATATTATAAAGAAAAGGGTAAAAGACTTAAGCATACCCTAAGTTTTTATAAATTGACGTAAACATGCCCTAAGTTTTTTGATTAAACTTAAATATACCTATTTGCCATTCATTAAGGCTATGTTTAGTGATTAAGTGGTTGTTAAAAGAAGTACTTGTTGTACAAGTACTTTTTAGAAGTGTTTATTTTAACAACCACTTAAGGCTGTTTGGTGATCCACTTGATAAATCACTTATTACGTTTTTTAAGCACTTATTGGGGTGGTGTGTTTGGTGAGTTATTTTCCTCACAAGTGCTTATATTGACACATATGACAATTTTAGTCTTCACTTCACTCATACATATAAACAATGCTTTTCATATATTATACTATACATTTCAATTAAAAAACACAACATTATGACACTTGAGAGTCCATGTGGACCCAATTAATAATAATAATAATAATAATAATAATGCAAAAAAATTCTACTCATGCATTACAACCATTACATAGACAATGCAAAAAAAGCAAATATTTCGGATTTCTAACTTAAAATATTTGAAAAAAATGAATCTAGACAAATATTCACCCAAAAAAACAAGAAAATAACATCAAACATGGAGGGGAGGAGTTCGGGCGAACTCACCTTCGTTCGCTGGTGGCTGGATAGTTAGGTGTCGCTGGTAAACTTGCCTAATCACATATCTGCAAATAGAGAGGAATGCCTTTTCAGGTGTTAAAAAACTTAAGAAAAATGCTTCAAATCGAATAAAATAAGCAAAAAAAAGTCATAAAGGGAAAAAGGCAGGTCTACTTGTCGTATTTTCGCATCGTCAATCGTCATTGGTGGACCTGCAACTAGAGTCATTGCCCGGGAAGAAAACCCTCACGTGGGGGCAAAACTGGTATTAAATAAATTATCTAGGGACTAAATCGTCCCATTTGTTTTAAAAAAGCACTTCTCCAAAAAGTGCTGAAAAAAAAGCCACTCTTAAGTCACTTTTTCTATAAGTACTTTTCAGAAAAATTACTTCTTGGTGACTTTTTACCAAACACACATAAGTACTTATTTGCCACTTAATGTGTGGTCTCGACACTTAAAAAAAGTGTTTTTTAGAAGTGAAATCAAATAGGGCCTAAATCTCAAAACAGAGTTGCCTTCACCCTGCTTTTCAAATTTGTGACTTCTTTTCATCCAACCTCTAGGTACAAAGTCACAATCTAGCTGGTCTTGGAAAAGATTTTGAATATTTCCATTATGTTGTCGCTTTTCTCTCGCCGGTGAGAAAAGGCTCGCGGCCGACCTCTATCTATGGTGAGATATCTCACCGCTCTAGAGGATATTGAGGCAAACTAGGGTTTTCGCTATTTCATTGATAATGAAGGAGGAACAGATACATATAGGCTAGGTTGTAACAATCTTCTAGGTGTATTGAATATTCCCTTGTTCATGATTTCCCAGATTACAATGATTTTATTTAAAGAAAAAATATAAAGGAAAAGCAAAATAGTCACTTGCAAGTTGGTGGCGCATGCTTACTTCACATGCATGGTTTTGCATAGATTATCCTTCGTTCCTAGGCTCACCGTGCATGAGCTCGTTACACCCCATATGTCTCTCTCCGCTTGGCTCCATGAATGTGGGCTGGGCTAGGATGCATATCACTCCCTCCCCCTTGTTCCAAGCCTTGTCCTCATGGAGGGCACCTGGATACTTGCTTTTGAGAATTTCCCAATCCTCCCAAGTGGCATTGGATCAGCATCTTATCTCAAACCTGGTTCCCCTTCTTAATGACTCGCTTTTCCAATATGGCTATGGTATAGGGTAGTAAGGTTCCAATAGTGTTAAGGGGTGGTAGTGTGGTCATTGAGTGACAATGGTTTCCCAATTTATTCTTGAGCCATGAAACGTGAAATGTAGGGTGGAGTTTATAGCCAGGAGGTAGGTCTAGTCGATATGCCACTGGGCCAGTCCTTTCTAACACCTTGTAGGGCCCATAAAAATGGGTGGTTAGCTTTTGGGACTTTCTCAGAGCTAGGCTGCTTTGTCTATAAGGTTAGAGACAAAGATAGACATAGTCCTTAACTTCAAATTCCCTCTCACTTATGCACTTGTCTGCCATGATCTTTATAAGATTTCTTGCATGACTGAGGTTCTCCTTGAGTTTAGAGAGAACCTCATCTCTTTCCAAGAGCTCCTCTTCCACTTATTGGGTTTTAGCAGTTCTGGGAATGTAAGTCAATGGGTTCAGAGAGGGTATTGCCATAGACAATTTGAAATGGGGTAAACTTGGTAGCTGAGTGATAAGTGGTGTTATACCACCATTCGACAAGAGATAACCACTTGGCCCAGCTATGGGATGGGTGCCAGTGAAATATCTTAAATAAGTTTCTCTAGAGTTCTGTTTAGTACCTATGTATATCCATCAGACTGGGGTGGTAAGCCGAATTGAAGCATAACCTTGTTCCTTGCAACTTGAATAATTCCTTCCAAAGGATGCTGGTGAAAGTTGGGTCTCGGTAGCTGACAATTGACAATGGCATCCCATGCAACCTAAAGACTTCCCCCATGAATATCTTAGCAATATCTTGGGCCGAGTAAGGGTGTTTTAGGGAAATGAAATGTCCATGTTTTGGGTAGCCGGTCAACAACCACAAGTATGGAGGACTTCTTTTGCGAGGGGGTAATCCTTCTATAAAATACATACTGATGTTAGTCCAGATTCGCTCAGGCAAGGGTAGAGGTTGTAACAATCTGAGGGTGTGTATATTTTCAGTCTTATTTCTTTAACATACCTCACACTATTGGACTTATCCCTTTACTTCAGAGTTCAGATTGGTACCCCCACCAGTAGTAGAACTGTCTAAGGCGGTGTATGGTATTTATGTACCCAGAGTGGTCCCTTGTAGGTGAGTCGTGGGCTTCTTCATGCATAGTCCTTCTGAGAGGTGAATTTGGGCTTAACACTATTTTTCCTTTTCTCCATAATAGCCCATTTCTGTACTCAAATTTTTCTGGGCTAAGTTTTCCTTCTTGAAGGTTTGAAACAATGTTTTATAAATATGGGTCATTAGCCATTTCTTCTTTCACAGATTCTACCCAATTAGGAATTAGTTGAGAGATAGCAAGCAATTCTTCTTTGGTTCTACGAGAAAGAGCATCAGCTACGATTTTGTTCTTCCCCTTCCGCATCACTATCTCATAATCAAAGCCCAGTAATTCGGTGATTAGCCTCTACTGAACTGGGACATGGATTCTTTGCTTTAAGAGGAAACTCAAGCTTCGGTGGTCCGTCATTATCCTGAATTTTGCACCAAGTATTACCTCCATTTCTATATTGCTGACATCACAACCAACAACTCCTCATACATGGAGAGGCCCGAATTTCTTTCTTGCAAGGCGTGGTTGAAGTAGGCAATGGGCATGCCGCTTTCAATTAAAATTGCTCCCGAGCCCATGGCGCTTGCATCGCTTTGTACTATGAAACTCTTGGAAAAATCAGGAAGTACCAACATGGGAGCGGTCACTACAGTTTGTTTCAGTCTTTCAAATGTTGATGTTGCTTTCTCTGTCCACTTCTATTCCCCCTTTTTTAATGTGTTAAGGGTTAAGCAATGACTTTGTATCATTTCACAAACTTGTAGTAATACCCAGTTAGTCCAAGAAAGCCCCTTAACCCTTTTATGGATTTGGGAATAGGCCAAGTGGTAATTCCTTTAATTTTTTCTAGGTCCATCTCAAACCCTCTTCAAATGATGAATGTGGGCCTCAAGATAGTCACTGTAAATGAGAATGTTATCAAAGAACACGAGAATAAATTTTCACAAGTGTTATTTGAATATATTGTTCATCATAGCCTGAAAAGTTGATGGGGCATAAGAAATCCCAAAAGGCATGACTAAGAATTCATAGTGACCCTCGTGAGTCCTAAAAACTGTTTTTGGTATGTCTTCTTCTTTGATTCTTATTTGATGGTAGCCAAACCGGAGATCCAATTTGGAGAAGACCTTAGCCCCACATAATTCATCGAGAAGCTCATCTATTATGGGAATAGGAAATTTGTCTTTTATGGTGGCGCCGTTGAGAGTCTAGTAGTCCACACAAAGACGCCACCCTCCATCTTCCTTTCTTACTAGAAAAACTAGGGCAAAAAAGGAGTTGGTACTGGGCCTTATGATTCCCATGTGAAGCATCTCCTTCACTAGAAGCTCAATCTCTCT